TCCTTCCCCACCTCCTCCTCTTCTTCTTGGGATCAAACTCCAGACCTTGTGCTTGTGAGGCAGGTGATGGAACCACTGAGCTAAATCCCCAGCCCCACCAGCACCACTATTTATCTCTCTTGCTTTGCTTCATGTGTATCCTACTCTTCCCATGAGACCACCTGCTCCTTGTAGAAAATACTACCCAATTCCACGGTGGTCAGAGTTTTTCCTCTTGGTGCTTACTCTTGCTGGAAGCCATTGTTTTCTCATTGTTGTCATGGCAATACATTTCTCATGCTTTTGGCCCCAGACCCAATGTATTTCATCACCCTGATTTGCTAAGGGAAAGTCATTCCCTTACCTATGTTCCTAGTTATACTTACTCCTGCTATGAGCATAGCTGTTAGTTCCTCTGTAACTCCAGATTACGATCTTCTGAAGGAAAAGCTGTGTTTCCTTCAACGTTTGAGTATAAGTTCTTAGAAATAAGGGCTTACTAATCGATATCTACTGAACTGAATTCTCACCTCTTTCCTGGGCACTGGTTTTACAAGCAGAAGGAAATAGAAAATGAACCAGCAAAATGGGAAATCATTTGCAACATGAAGACAGTATCTGTTTCACATGAATTGGGAAATATCTGCTTTACGGGGAATTACATTCAGGTGGGCCACAGGAGGGACCTACCGTAAATGTCTTCTGGTGAAAAATCTGAGAACATACATGCAGAATATTTTGCCTCATAAATTATATCATGGCCTCTTTCTACATCTGGATAAATGTTTTCACAGACTTCAGAACAATTCCATAACGAGATGCACCTCACTGAAGAATTAGTGCAAAAGATTTATTTCCTTCTCTTTGTGTTTCCTTGCTAAGAACATCCCTAAGCAACAGTCCCAGCTTTCCTCCCCACTCCTCCTCTGGAGGGGAGGTGGTTGAGTGAGTTGGGGAATAGAGCGCCCATGCGCATCAGCTCCTTCCCATCTCCTGAGAAGAACAGTTGTGCGTCCAGCTCTGTTCCAAGCTCTTGCTGACTCCCCACGGGGCGGAGAGACAACTCTTGATTGGCTGTGACTAAGCGGGAGTGTTTGTATGATTCAGCGTAAAATGAAAGCAAATGCACAGGCACTTTCATCAAATAGTAGTTTGACTCTTAGGCGAGCCTCTCGATTGGCTCTCTAAGGCATGCAAATCTCAATTCTGGAAAGAATCCAGCCAAGATTTCTTTTACTACACATCCACTAAGGGGTGGAAATGTGCAGTTGCTGTGCAAGATTAGGGGGCTGCGAAGGTAAAAGAAGAGATAAAAAATGGAACTGCAGTCACGCCTGTGCCTCCGTGGGAGACCTGTTACAGGATGCCCCCCCAACACACCCCAAAGTCCCCAGATGCTCAAGTCGCTTATATAAATCCCTGCTTACCTTTCCTAAACACCAGGTTCCTGTCAGATGTGAGGGCACAGACGGTACGATTGGGATCGAAGTTTTCTTTAACCGAATTATTTTTCATTTCACTGAATGATGTTTTCCAAGCAATCTTATTAATTTCACTGTCATTCACATTTATTTCAAGGAAAGTAGTTATTTTCTTTAAGCTCTTAGAAAAATCCTGAGCAAAAAGCAAAGTGTTTTTTTTAAAAAAATTGAGTATAATTCTTATCAAACCACCACGTTTGCTCCCTGAAACCTGAAAGCAGAATTCATTGATTATTTCCAGTTTTAACTTAATTTGATTTAAATTTTGATGGCTGAAACATTAAGGACGACTTACTTTCTTCATTTCTTCGTAGAATATAATTAGAATATTTTTATCATTTCTGTGCTCTTCCCAGCTTAAAACGTGATCGAACCAGGATCCGTACACAACTAGAAGAAAAGTGAATTGTGTTGTGGTTAAAGATGAAGGCGGGGCTCTTCCCACTTCAGCGAAGTAGCCGAAGTTAGGCATCTTTTTAATAGACTCGGGAGTGGGAATTTCTTTGAAGAGTTCAATTTCACTACTTTTTCAACTAAATGCAATGATGTGATATTAAACTGGCTTGCCGTATTTTTAACAAGCCTGTTGGTGTTTTTTTTTTTTCTTTCTTTCTTATGTCTACACTCTTTTACCATCAGGAAAAATGACAGCAGAAAAATGACACAAGGGGTGATCAAAGAGTACTGTGGATATTCAAAATTTAAAAATGCATTACAGGCAGGACTTGGGGGTGCACAACTATAATCCCAGCACTTGGGAGGCTGAGGTGGAGGATCCCTGTGAGTTCAAGGCCAGCTTGGGCTACATAGTGAGTTCAAGGTCAGCCTGAGATCCTAATAAGACCCTGTCTCAAAAAAACAAATACTACAACTACTACTACTACTACTACTACTAAATGTATTACAGTAAAAGAAATACTACCATTGATCTCTTCAAAACACTCCCCCTCGCTCTGAACATACCTATTCCACCAGTCTTACCACTTTCGGGAAGTTCTCTTTCATGAGTGTCTGCGGAGCACGATCAAAAATATGGTGTATGATTAAAAACACAGTGAGTGCTGCTGCTGAGTACCACTCAACAGAAAGACAGGCCAGTGAAAATATTACAGTGTGGTGCTCGCTCCGGCAGCACATATACTAGGATCGGAACAACACAGAGAAGATGAGCACAGCCCCTGAGCAGGGATGACACGCAAATTGGTGAAGCGTTCCATAGTAAAAAGAAATTACAGTGTGTCTTCATCCACCTTATTCTCCAGCTCTGTCACCCAGCAATTTCTGGCTCTTTGCAAAATGACTATGAAAGGTACACATTTTGAATCAATTCAGATTTTAAAGGCGATGAATAGCAATGTGTCTTTCACTGTAATAAATTTTTAAAAATGTAAACACACAACCATATTTTTCTGTCATACCTCAGACATTTTCTCGATAATTGTGTTCTAATGATTGCACCGGCTCTTGAGAGAAACACAGACACACTGAGGATTTATTTTCTTTTTGTCAGATTACATGTTTTCCTATAATCATAGCTTAGCATGAAAGTTCATAAACTTCAAGAAAGATTCCTGAAGTTGTTATTTCTTGACAGTGGCTTTTGTATTGTTAAATACATTCCACTTAAAAGGAAAATTAAATTTAAAATTTTATTAACTTAGGCAGTTCAAAACTGAAAACCACAGCCTTAAAGATTTGTCTGGAGTTGATATGGTCTCTTTATTGTTGCTATTCAATGACAGTCTTTAAAAAACTTCTAGAGTTTAAAAGTAATGCACAAAAGTGCAAAATAACCTCTCTGGCAATAACAATTAAATATATTTTGGCATCTCATAAAGTTACTCGCTTAAAGTGTAATGCACAAAACATAGCAATTTAAAGAGAAAAATAAAAAGTAGACAATAGGAAATAACAAGATAGATCTTTTGCAAATGGGAAGAGGACCCAGAGCTGGAAGGAAGAGAGGGGAGAGGGAAGTGTAAAGAATTAAGATATGTCACATTCATGTAGCAATTCTCCACAACGAATGACGTCACTGTGTACCACAAACACGCAGTAATAAAAATTGTAAAATAAATTTGAAAAAATACTCCACATACATCATTCCACTGCATCCTTGTTACCCAAAATTCAAGTTCTAATTTGCACCCTCAGTATAAAAGGCCTGCTCTACTGGTGATTTCCTGTAGATCTGCCAACTTTTGACAAATTGATCTAACATTTATTAAGCCATTCTTGCCTGCCAGACATTGTGCTAGACACTTTTAAACACTAAAGCTTGGAACTTTTGAAGTATCATTAACTCCAAACCAACTGCAAGTCTTCAGAGCTTTAGTTTTTGAGGAAACAAAGGGCCAGAAATAACTATGTGTGTTTAAGTCAAGAATTTCCGAGACGACTGTGACAGCATTACAGAATCAGCCTGCCACCCCGTGGACCCGTGGGTGACAGAGTGAGCTCCTGGAAGAGATGCCCGGACATGGCCCTCGACCGTCAGCAATCTCAGGTGATTTCAGAGACTTACACAATACCTGCCCTCAAAGTATTCAGATTACCGTATCAATGATAAGAGATGGATTCTAAGAAGGGCCAGCGTTTCCCCCCCCACACACACTGTTGTGAGGAGGAAGGTGGATTTTTTTCTCTCACACGAATTTAGGAAGTGAACTGCTATAGTCTCTACTGCCTCAGACTCACAAGCACACCCCGCCCGCCATCTTGCCCCAGCAGCCGCGGCCGGGTCCTCCTGGGTGATATCATTGCCTACAGTTGCTGAGGCTGTGGAGCCCTGGAGACCTTGAGAGAAGTCACTGCTCCCATGTCTAGGCGGCTGAGCAGAAACAGAGACCCAGAATTATATTACATGATAGGGGTAACTGACTTGCCCACTATGGTTTTTCAGTGGGAATATATTGCAACATCCTCCAAAATACACGTAAGCACTGTGCACAGCTACTTGGGAGTCTGAGGCAGGATGGCCATAGGTCAAAGCCAGCCTTGGCATCTCAGTGAGGCCCGGTCTCAAAAAGAAATGAGCAGGAACAGTGAGTGGTACATGTCTACAATCTCAGAACTCTGGGACACTGAGGTAGAATGATTCATGGAAGCCAACTTGGGCAATTTAACAAGGCCTTGTAAGAAAGTGAAATAATGAAATGGGCTGGAGAAGTAGTGAAGATAAACACTTGCCTAGCATGTGAGAGACCCTGGGTTCAATCCTCAGCACTGTTAAAAAATATTAAGAACGAGTTTTGGAGTTTAGACTGATCATAACTTGAAAGCCAGCTTTTCTATTATTTGTAAATTTATTCACTGAAGGGACTTACAGCAGCTGAAGACAGTGGTTGCTTGTGACTTCCTCATACTACAGGAAAATGTATCAGTGTTATATTTGAAATGTGATTTTTACTAAAGGATTGGAATTCCCAAGTGACAGTTGTGTAATTTTTTATAAAGAATATTAATATCCCAGTTATTTGTAGACCTTAGCTATTAGGAAAATGTAGCTTTCAAAATAGTTTTGAAAGCTTCCTTTTATGGCAAATACGGTTCTCCACATCCTTCAGGAATTAATCCTAATTCTTACAGAATTATCCCACCATGTCTTGGCTTTACCCTTTTCCCGGCTTGTCTTACCTCTGCTACCCTAAATCACTCCTTTCCCTGAACACGCCTGAGTAGAGATGGCTCAGTTTCACCAACCATGTGTCCTGGATCTAGGGAGTGAGTCAGATTTCTGGCTTCTCGAAACTTCTAGAATCTCTCTCCCTACCCCACCGCCACCACCAAGGGATCGCTCCCCGTAGAATTCACACTTCTTTAAGACTCTTGAGATGCTTTTTAACTCATCACTCTTTCCCTCCCACCTCAGTCATAAATCAACTTATCATCTCCTCTACTGTCACCGAAGGCAGAGGGTTGGTCACCACCTGTGTCATCTCAGGTCTCGCCATGCACTGTAGTGATTTCACTGGACAGCTCTCTCAACACCTTACTCTGAACATTTCTGTCCCGCTCTGTCTTCACTCTCTTCCCCTCATTATTTCTTTTAACCTTGCCAATACCTTCAACATCCTTGCCACCTAGATGCCAAAAAAAAAAAAAAAATCCAGTATTGAATCAAAACATTTTCTTTTCTTCCATTGCTGCTGAGTGCTGCTCCCTATTTATACACCACTGCGAGTCCATTTTTCCAACCTTAGGGCTCCAAGGACCCCGAACCGCCTACTTGTCCCACAGGACCATTCCACCTCTTCACAGCAGGTATTTCACACGTACTGTACTTTCTGCCAACCTTCGGCCCTGTTCCAATCATAACTAGTGCTTTAGTTTCTAAGAGGTGCTCTGAAGATACAATAGTTGTGTGGAGGAGCAAAAATCTCCGGCAAGAACTGGCCTAGGACTTATAGAATGCTAACACAAAATAGAGAGTTACACAGAAGTAAAGAAGAGCTAATTTTCTAATAAGATAGTTTCATTGAAATATTACTCCAGTGTGCTATTACCAGCACACAATTTATAGTTATTGTTTAATTTGAAAAGATAAAGTATATTTATACACTACCTGAAACATAAATTAAATGATTAGATAAGTGTCTAGCTATGTACTCTTTATTGTCTCAACGCACAAATCAGTCTGTATCTGGATGTGGGTGCAAAGTATCTTAATGCCTCAGTTGTACAATAACCTCTTTAGATAAATACCGACCTGCAACAGCTCTGCTCGATATGAAACTATTCCAAAGTCTTCCGTGCCTACTAGATTTCTACAGCACCCTTCAGCCATTATTTAATTTGACCCTGTAACCCTACAAGGAAGATCATTCTATTGGCCTTAGTTTGTGCTACCAGTGTAGATCTTAGAATGGTTCTGCCAGCTGTCCAAAGTCACGTAGGGAATGCAGTCCAATCAGGACTTGATGCCAGGTCTTCTCTTCCTCTCTCCTGTTCTTTCTATTACACTGCACCCTCAACTGCAAGAGAAATAATCCTCCCTTCATAGAGTCATCGAAGAAAGAACCCTGAAAAACAGTCACAGACATGCAATACATATACATACACACACAAACACCCATATCTTATAAACAGTGAAAAAGTGAAGCTATTTTTCCATCGGAATAGATTTTTCAAAGAAGCTTTAGTGAATAAGTGATTACTCCTGGTGGTGACAGAGCTTGCCCAGTCTGGATCACCCAGAGGCAGAATATTTGTAGATAAGATCTCTTTGCACCTCAATATCTATTCATTCACTTAGGAAGGTGAAAGAGAACTATCTAGAATATTTTTTCTAACAACACTGTGCCCCTCCTAGATTTTCCTTTCTTTTCCTCCCTCTCTCCTTTCCTTTTTCCTTCTTCCTTGCCTCTTTCCTTCCTTCCCTCTTTCCGCTTTCCTCTTCTCTCTCCTCCTCCTCTCTCTCTCCCCCCTTCTCCATCAAATCCAGGATATTCTACTACTGAGCTCCACCCCCAGGCCTTTTTAAATTTTATTGCGAAGCAGGGTCTTACTGAATTACCCGGGCTGGCCTAAACTTGTGATCCTCCTGCCTCAGCTTGGGGTTATCTGTTACAAAATTTCACCTCACCCTTCCTAAACACAGGACTCTGTCGTGACTTCTCGCACTGTGGTGGTGACAAGGCAGATACTCCACCAAGGCCAGATAGCCTCACTTCATTCTGGCCTGGGCTGGCACTTCTGTGGCTGTGTTCACAGAAAAACAATCTGCCGAACAGAGATGATTCTCTTCTGTTCAGAGCACCTCTGGGTGCGCTTGCCTGTTGGCCGCGCACCATCGTAAAGATGTGGCCAAGTAACAGGAAGAGTGGACACCATGGTGTTAATAATGGCACGTATCAGTTGCATTTCTGGTCTTGAGCAAAAGCAGACTCAAGGTCTATTCTGAAAAAACTATGTATTTAAACTCTGCTTATTCCAAAAATGGAATTGAGGTGGAAGGAGGCATGCTAACTATTTTCAAATATTTAGAAGCTATCGTGTAGAAGAGGAATTAATGAGACCAGAGGGGTTTTTTTTTTTACCTGGACAAATTACGGCACAGTGGTAAGGATAAAGATTTTGAAGCTGACACCCAAATTTAAATCTTGACTCAGCTTCTTACTTGTTATGCATCTGTGGACAAGTTATTTGGCCTCCCAGTCTGCATTCTCTTCAGCTGTAAAATGAGGACAACATCTACCTCATGGTGTTCTGGTGAGGGAAAATGAGTTCCTGTTTGCATAGCACTTAGCTAAGTGTCCATCACATGTGAGCACATGGTAAATGGTAAGAATGAAAATGAAATCTTAGATGATGGAATGCATTGTGTAATGGGGTTGGTGACCCCATTGTCAGAATTAAGATGTTCAAGATCCAGGTATTTGGCTCTGTGGCACCGCACCTGCCTTGTAAGCACAAGGTCCTGAGTTTGATCCTCAGTACTGGAAAAACAAAGCAAAGATGTTCAAGCTCAGTCTCCACAGTTCATAGGGATGTAAGATGGGTGACCCAAATGTCAACTGGGTGTTTGGACCAGATAAACATTAAAGTACCTGTCATTCCTGTACATTTTGATTCTAGTGTACCATTAGTTAAGGAGGAATGTAGAGCAGGAACACACCTGTTCTGTCTGAATTTAACAAATCAAAGTTGAAAAACATGCAAGGAAAATAGAGAAATTATCTATTAGCCCAATGGTGTGGGGGGGTGGTCTCCGAGGACTCGGCATTTCTAACTCCTGTCTCTTTCAATTTCTGCCTGGTTTTGGTATATTACCTTTGTATAGTGTTTGTATGGAAGTTCAGAAGAGTTTGGTTTTGAAAAAAGCATTTCAGACACCAGTTAGTCAGGGGCAAGAAATTGAAAGGTTGTGTAGGATGATACAACCAAAGCGAGACACACAGTTTAATCAAACCACATTTCACTGTGGGGTTTTCAGCATAAATGACTTCCTGCTTGTTTTCATGAAGTCAGTGCTCTCACACTTTCTTTTGATTTCTTTGGGGAATTTGTGTGTGTGCATGTTTATATTCTTTGTTTACTTTTGTTTTTCTATTCTCCAGGTAGCTACATTGAAGGTATGTTTCCAACTACCTATCTGCATTCCAGTCACTGCATAATCATTTCACTGGAAAAACCAGTGGTTTATGGAAAAAAACAAAAAAACCACAGTACTTATACAAAATTAATCCTGCTTTGAAAACATTAAGAGAAGTGCAATAAAAAAACCACCAATAAGCTACCTCCCATAGGTCATTAGAGAGACTATGAAGGGGCAAAGTGAGAAAGAATTTGCTTAAAAGAAATTAAAATCAACTCTTTAGTGTATTTTTTTTTCAGGGAAAGGCAGTTATGATCCATGTAAACTTTTAGAAATGATTTTGTTTTGAGCAAGAAAGTTCGCGATATGTCATGAATTTTAAAAAACCATTTGCTATATTCACCTTCTCCTCTAAGGAATAGCTCGAGAAAAGCAGCCCATGTTTCGATGCAAGGAAGATTAGGATTATCTCTGTAGTAGTGGAATAGGGAAACAGCTGTGTCTTTAGGATTTCTAATGATGTAGATAATCTGTTTTAAAAAAAAAACACATCAATTAACATTAATAACTTCAACACAGGACATTTTCTAAAAGAAAGCACCAGCTACACTTACCTATGTAGATCGTGATTTGGCGGTCAGGTCTAGCTGATGATTAAAGGCAGTCTTAGTCTCTTAAAGCTTCCTGTGCTAATAACCATCAGGAATCTTATTCAGATACAGATTCTGATTCAGGGTGCTCAGGAGGAGGCCTGGTATCCTGCATTTTTCACAAAACTCTTGGGTGATGTTCCTGCTGCCAGGCCACCAACCACACATTCTAAATTTATGTGCTAAATTTGGTCCTCTGTTTTAGGGGCAGACGTGGGAAAAAAATTCTGTTCCTTTGTGGAACGCAAGTACCTTTCAGTTATGCACATATCACAAAGCATTTATATACAGTAGTTTCTTACAAGTTGCCTATGACCATTTACAGGAATAATAATGTTTTATAATTCCCATTTTCTATAGCTGAATCTTCCCAAGAGTACCGTGAGATACCCTCCCAATTTCATGGACACTGCAATGCCAACTGAACTTATTCGATGAATATTTATTTAGTACCCACTGAATACCAGGAAGTGAACAATGTTCCCGATCCAAAGACTATAATCATGATCACGACAGAAATGGTTAAGCCCTCTTGAAATTGACAGTCAGATAATTAAATGTGGTCTTGACAGTGCAGTGTCATAAGAGGCACAACAGGGGATGTATAGAGTGCACTAGGACCATCTAAGAAGCCCCCAGAAGCCAATGTGAGAAGCTGGATTGAGGAGTCATCTCCAATCCCATTCAACATCGAATGATGAACTGCTAAGTACAAGATGTTCTCTTTGCTTTTTAGTTGACAAAGTAGACACATTTCACTTAGCTAAAAACATATTTGCTGAGTCATTTTTAATACATGACTATCTTTCTAGACTGTGTTCATAGTCCAGGGATTATGTAGGCCCACAGGCACAGTGCTTGCTCTTTAACTGAGAGATGTGTAAAGGTCACTGAGCAGAGGAATGAAGAATGACCTTTACCCACCCACCCTGTATCCTCTGTGTATCCCAGGAGCCTTATGGAGTCACTCAGTCCTTTTTGTTGGTACCAGGTATCGAACTCAGGACCCTGCACTTTTGAGGCAGGTGGCAGAACCATTGAGCTGAATCCCTAGCCCTTCTTGAACTGTTATAGGCTTCCTAAGAAGGTTCACAGAAGCCCAGGGCTCAGAGAACAGTTAAACATCCACTGCCACAGAAGGGATACAGTACCAGAAATTTTAGCCCAGCCATCCAGTTGGATGTATTTGTTTTCACAAAGTTTTTGAGTTTTTATAGAATACCCGAAGTTTTTTGTCTACATTCTCTAGTGGGAAAGCATACATCCAACGTATTCATATTTTGCCAAAGAATGTAGTCTGAGAAATCGGAAGACTCAATGGAGGAGGTTAAGGGATACAAAGGGAAGGCAGAATCACAGTTGGGGGGAAAATCAAATACTAAAGAAAATATCATGAAAAGATCCAGAGAGCTTAAATGTTATGCCAGTGGGTTTTAAAACCTAAAAAAGAAGGAACATGGAGTAGGAAGAGAATTCGGAATGCCAGGAAAGGTTGAGCACTAGTAGGGAAAGCCTGAGGGAGGGACGGATGGTCCAAATCGCCCTCCTGGAAAGCTTGTCCAACTCTCAAGATCCCCAGCAGCAGCAGTGGGCAGGCCGTCCTCTCGGGAGGGCAGCCAGACACAGTTCCCACGGAGGGTCACCCTGAAAGGGCCGCATCTGAAGGCTGTAGCTTCAGTGATGTGGTTAGGAAGTACCCTCGGTGTCCTTCCACTGGCTTACAGCAGGCCAGTAGCAGCACCTCACTGCTGAGCGTGAGCTCTGCCATTTTGTCTGGCTCACAGACATTTGCTATTGGTGTCATTGTGTTACCCTGAGTCACAGCTACTGAGTTGACTCAAACTCCATTCCTTTTGTCAAGCCTCTCTCTCCCTCTCTATTCCTCTCTCTCTCCCCGCTTTTTCTCCCTCTCTCATCTCTTCCTGTGTATATTATATATGTGTATTTATAACATATACAGTGGACCCTTGACTTACAAACTCAATTGGTTGCCGAAGGCTGGTTATAACTAAGTCAACACAGCTGAGATGTGGATGTTTACCGGGGTACATGCTATAGATAACAAGAGGCAGATGAACCTTCCTTTAATTTAATTAACCCAAGTTGTTCGTATGCCAGGCCAGTTGTAATGTAAGGGTTCACTGTATTTCTCTTTCTCCCTCTCTCTCCCTCCCTCTTGGTCTTGGTTCTGCTTTCATCAGAAAGAAGGAGAAGA